TTGTTTTCCACATATATGAAATGAAAGACATTAAAACATCAAAATATAACACTGGAGAATTAAACTGGTGTTTTTTTTTTTCATATAAATGGATTTCAGTATTTTACTTTTTTAACAAAATTGGAAAAAATGTTTGATTCACATTAAATAAGAGTAATATCGTTTAGCAGAAATATATCAATTTTAATCTTTTTGTCCCAACACCTAAAAAAAGCAATTTCATAAWTCTTCACAGGCTGTAGTTTTATATTTAAATGACAGATAACGAACAAGTAGATTTTGTGCTTTAATGTCGTTTAACAAGAAAAATGACAAAAATCCCCCTTTAGACCTCAGCTTTAGGTGATGTATTTTAAAATATAGTTTTATGTTTTATAAGAAGAGCATTGATGTTTTTTCTGCAGGTTTAATGTTGACATTTTGTGAATTGAAATAAACTACCGTTATAAATTCATAATAAAGGAATACAAACGAATTACGTTTATTTAGACATTGAAGGAAAGAAGATGAACATTTTCTGACTATTTTCACTGTTTCTGAAAACAGATGGACAAAGTAGGACCTCAGACTTTTTAAAGAAATTCTATCAGTTTTTTTAAAAACAGATATTTTGTTGTTGATTTCTTGTTGTTTGTCTTTCGGCTGCTCCCTGCACTGCAGAGTTCACCACAGGAAGTGGACCTGGTTGTTTTACAGGATGTCCTTCCTGACTCAACCTGGGCTCAAACCTGCAGCCTCAGGTCGACCACAGCGCTGACCACCTAACATTATTCTTTTATTTTATCAGTTAAACTCTTTTATCAAACTTCTTTAGAAACTAAATCAAAYAATGTTTTAAAAACTGATTCAGTTTTCCAGGAGTCTGTTTGTGCCACATGTCAGTCAGACTGACACATTTTGATTTACCGCAGGAACAAAATGGTTTCTGTAAACAATAACAAGTATTTTATCCAGAGATGAACTGCTGCTCAGCACAGAACTTATTACGTTTAATAACTTCATCCATCTGAACAGCATGTCAGTGATTATAAAAGAGAAAAACATCCTTTAAAACCACTGCTGCATGCTGGGACTCTGTCATATCTGTCATATGAAACATTTTATTTAACAGCTGAACGTTTTAGTTTGTTAAAATAAACACCTGCAGTGTTTTAGGATTTCTTTAATTCTTGTTTATTGGATGTTTAGTAACTCACATTTATAAAATGAATAAATTGTTTTCAACAACAAAGATAAGGCTGGACCTTTTTAAAGTAACATTCTGTGTAAAAGTTCTAAATCTTACCTGTGAACAACAGTTTGAACAAGCTCAGGTGTTTRGACAGGATGATGAGCCAATGGCTGGTCTCAAAACATTCAACACAAAAGTATAACACTTTGATACAAGCTGGTTTACGTTCGACAGAAATTATAACGTTTCTGCCAGAAAAACCTGTATTACAGAAATGATGGCAGTAAAATGTAAAAAAATAACATTTGTCTGAACAGGTTGAGTTTTTAAAAAAGTATTTTGTTGATTTGGACTGAACACAACCTGACAAATGAAGCCTTGTTTCTGTTTGGACCAGTAACATCCAGTAAAATGTCACAGAGACTCCTGTGGGTTACTGGGAACAGTTACTGGGAACAGTTACTGGGAACAGTTCCTGTGGTCGACTGAGAAGGAAAGTCAGAAATAAAAACGGCCTGAGAAAGACCCTTAAATAAATGACAGAAACGTCCTCGAAGCAAAGATGAGGGTCAGTTTCAAACTTTTCACTSTAATTCTTTTAGCTGCCCAGTCTGACTGACACAGTTATTTTTAAAACATTTGTTCAAACATTTATCTGTTAATCCATCCAGCCCTGGTTTTCATCATTTAACTAGAGAAAGTTATCATTCAGCCGACTTTTACTAATTCCATACATCTACGTAGGATGAGTATCTAAAAATGGACTAACAGTAGTTAGAAAATAGTTAAAAGCTGAAGATTTCAAGCATTTTTTATTTATCCCATTAAAATAGTAAATCTGTTTTTTCAGGGGCCAGAAGCCAACCAGTCCAGAGCTGTGCTCAACATTCCCAACTTTAAATGTTTACCACCATGAATAACACAAAACACAACCCTTGTTCCTATTTTAATAAGAATGTTTTCTGCAAATATCACATATTAGAAGTAGTTAAACATTTTTAAATCAATTGAAAACCAAGTTTTGAGTTGAACTGTCAGAAACCATCTGTCCCTTCATCATGCAGGTTTTCCTTTTTCTATTTTAAAAG